TTGGGATAGATCTATTATGATAATTTAGTGTCAAAGATTATTGCATTATAGCCCAAGGCATGAGTATTAGTATCTCCTCGTTCCTTGAAAAGGAAGAAAGTGAAAAAACGTAAGTAATATATACGTACATAAAAGGCGTCCACTGTATAAGTCTGATATATCAAATGTTTTTATTTAGATGTTTGCATTTGTGCCTGAGATATTATAGAGAAAGGCTCAAGTATGAGTATACTTTTATCATTTTTAACATTGTCTATAGTTTGTCTTGTACAAGAGACAATCCACTTATTGTTGTCATTATACGTAAAGATTTAACACTTCGTACCTTGATGGTTCTGCTTTTGTGTGTGAACACAAGAATTCTCTTTATTTGCCTTATATATATATATATATACTATGTAAATATATCAGAAAAATTTTATCTGTTTTAACTCATTCCAAGCATAACAATTTTTCATATACAAGTACGTTTGTTACTCATGTAATCAGTCTACAGTTATCGTAACAGCTCTTACAATTTCGCTAGCTACTACCCAATTATTTTTGTGTTTTTAGTTACATATATACCTGCCACACCTATATGTATATATTTATAAAGTGAAAACATGTTACTAATTGTACACAACAGTGGCACTTGTAATTTGAACCCAAAATTTATGTTTTTTTTGTGATTTTTTTGTATATCGAATCATTAACTGATTACCCATGTTTTCCTAAATGTGTATAATTATATAAGTTACTCTTATTGACTCTGTAGTTACCACACCTGGATTTTTATCCAGAGATGGCTGTCTTGTATCTTTTGTTATGTAAAGCATTACCAGTTATCAACTGGCAAAGGCTGCTACTCAAACTTATTTTTTAACTTGATGATACAACATGCTAGACTGCTACTAAATCAAGAATTTTATGCATTAGAATCCCACACAAAAGCATCGTTATCCATTACTCACGTTGCTTATACTTCCAGTTTAACCTGGTGATAATGGTCCCTCACATTTTTGACACAAGAAAACTGTCTTACTCTGTAACGTCTGACATTGTTGCTCACACATATCCTGTGCTGTTGGCCAAACAAAGCAACGATTAGTGTTTCCTTATTGGAAACATTTCGTATTGTGAAAACAACTATAACAGGAAGGTGCTTTGTTGTATGAAAATTTGAATATGTAAAATGTTTAGAATTATTTGATATTTTTGTATGGTAGTTCTGGTACATGATTTAGGTATTGTAGAATACATGAAAGTTTTGAAAAGTATTAGTTATTAATGTATTATTGTCAAAGGATATCTAATATCTGAATCTCTCTCTGATCTTATAAGCTTCATCTAAGAAAAGTAGTCATTGAACGTCTTCCGGTGCAATAAAGCACTGCTCAAATATTTCTACCTGAATAGTGCTTAGGTGTGGTTATTTCTTTAGTTTTCTGGACAGAAGAATGACACAAGAAATTAGTGTTGTTTTTTTTTTTTTGAAGACATAACTATACTTCGTGTGACTCCATACGTTTAGCTCAGGCAGGTTCAGATAAGATCGAACAGCTTGTTTACCAAGAACTGTATGTATATTACTGCTTGTTACTTCTATAGGTTTACTGTCATCAGTTCTTTTTTGTAAGACATAGCTACTTCGTGTGTAGCTCAGGCAGGTTCAGATGAGATCGAACAGCTTGTTTACCAAGAACTGTATGTATATTACTGCTTGTTACTTCTATAGGTTTACTGTCATCAGTTCTTTTTTGTAAGACATAACTACTTCGTGTGACTCCATACGTTTAGTTCAGGCAGGTTCAGATGAGATCGAACAGCTTGTTTACCATGAACTGTACATATATGGCTGCTTGTTTTTTTCTTTTAACAATAATCATCTGAATACAAATATAAGTTCCATAGATGAGGGAAAAGTGAGAGAGTAATCAGTACAAAGTGAACAAATAATAAAGTTAACTGAGGAGTAATTGTGTTAAAGAATTTATGTTATTTTAAACCAACTTTCTTGAAAATGCTCTAATAATTTTACCTGGAAAGTACAAGTTTGGAATTATAGTGGAATATGGTTTGATGTTTAGTATACTTAGTGTAGTTGATGTTAATAAAGAATTTGGTCTTTCATTAAATCTCTACTTAACAACGACAGTGGTGTTGAGCACAGAGATGGTGTAAGGATCCAGATGACATGCATATAAGGTGGTCGTGTAAGACATAACACTAAAACATTGTGTTAAAATATAGCCTTATAACACATAACACTAAATTGTCAAGTGGTTAAGCAGTGCACATCACTAAGATATCATTGTGTTAAGTTGCAAGTAGTCACATAACACTAAAGTGTCAAATGGTTAAACAAGACACATTTTTAAAACACTATTGTGTTGCAAGTATACAAGTGTATTTTCCAGGTTACATGTATCAAATTATTATGTACAATATCTCATTAAAACATC